TCAAAATAAGGGTATAATTGAAAATAAATATGAGAACTAAAAAATGCTGACGTGCATATTAAAAAAGCTCATCTTGAGAGCTTTTAGCTATTAAATTTTTTCTTTATTATAAAAAAAATTCTTTTTTGTAATGTGAGCTTTTGTAGAATTATGTTTGGTTTTTACCAAAAAAAAATAAAATTACGTTTGACTAAATTTCTATTTATAAGGAGAATAAAACTAAAAATAAGAGCTCCCAAACATGCACTTAATATAAACAAATAATCATTTGTAATATTTTTTTTAACTTCATGAATATCATAAAATTTCTCATTTATAAATATTAAATCCTTACTAGAAACAAATAATCAAAGACAAAAAAATAATCATTTGTCATTTTCTTTTTAATTTTATGTATCTAATATAAAACTTAGGGACAAATTATTCTCATGTTACATGAGACTAATTTTTTCTCCTGCACACTCTTTGATAATTATGCAACCTTTTTCTTTTTCTTTATTTTTTCAGGGGGTGGGACCCATATATTTGTCTCTATGACATAAGATAACCTATCTCCTTTAACATAAGGGCCTGTTTGGTGTGACGTATAAGGCATGATAGTATAAGCTTATACTATACGTTATGACATTTTTAGTTGTTTGGTGTGACCACCGTAGAGTATAAGCTTATACAGCATAATCCCTTAATACATCAAAACGATGTATAACTTAATCCGGCCTAAGGGTGAGGGATAAGACCTGATAAGAGATTGATGTATTAGCATCGTTGACCAATGTAATTCTCAAAAATTAATATATTATTTTAATATTAATCTATTAAAATAAAATTTATTTTTCAATATATTAATTTTTAAAATATTGAATATTTTTATTTTTATAAAAATTAATTTATATATTTGGACACACTGATCAATAAATTTTTATAAAAATTAATATCATATGACATTTTTTGAAGAATTATATAAATTCTTTATTAAAGGATATTTTTATTAAAAATATTTGTTTTTATCATATATAGTATTATACAGTGCATTACCAAATACTAGATGATATTTTCTTATACAATATATTATTTTATACAATACCGTGCCAAACGCTTGATAGTATTAAAATTCAATCAGGTCTTATACAATCAGGCCTTATATTATTAGGTCTTATACTATCAGGCCTTATCCTATACTATGCACCAAACATGCCCTAAGATTAATAACATCTTAAAACTTAACTAACGATTTTTGACCACTCAATAGAAATAAATAACTACTAACCAAGAAATGATAATCATATGTAAAACTCTTATTAACTTTATAAATCTAATATAAAACTTCTATTACTAATCGGTAAAAATAAAGAGCAAATGAACAAGCAAACACATGCATGAATTAACACAAGGAAAATTTAGATCCAGAAGAGATGTAGAAGGAAGAAGGAAAGAGCAAATTCATATATTTACCGAGAAGCTAAATATCCAAGTTGGAAAAGGAGAAGGAGCGAAAATATGACTCATTTATAAATGAGTTTAAAGTTTAAGTGTTAAAATTATCTTTTACACATATATAAAAAGGCTTTAGAGCCTGTTTGGATACTCTTATTTTTAAGCTAGAAGCTACTTATAAGCTAAAGCTAAAAAAGAGAGCTTAAAAAAAGAAGCTAAAAGCTGTTTGAAAATTACATAAAAATTTTAGCTTAAAAATTACTTAAAAGCACATATTTCAAGAAAATTATCTCTCTCTCAATCTTTATCACTCTTCATCTTAAAAAAATACACAATTCAAGAAAAACAGATAAGAGCTAAAAAAAAAAGCTCATCCTAGGAGCTTTTAGTTTTCAGTTTTTTTAGTGCCTGTTTGGATCCTCTTATTTTTAAGCTAGAAGCTACTTATAAGCATAAGCTAGGCCAAACAGATTTTGGGAAAAACTCTTACAACGAAAAGCTCTTTTTTTTATAATGAAGAAAAAAGCTGAAAATTAAAAGCTCCTAGGAGGAGCTTTTTTTTTAAGCTCTTATCTGTTTTTCTTGAATTGTGTGCTTTTTTTTAAATGAAGAGTGATAAAGATAGAGAGAAAGATAATTTTCTTGAAATATGTGCTTTTAAGTAATTTTTAAGCTAAAACTTTTATGTAATTTCCAAACAGCTTTTAGCTTATTTTTTTAAGCTCTTTTTTTTAGCTTTAGCTTATAAGTAGCTTCTAGCTTAAAAATAAGAGGATCCAAACAGACACTTAATGTTTTTCCCAAAAAAGAGCTTTTCGTTATAAGAGCTTTTCCCAAAACCTGTTTTGCCTAGCTTATGCTTATAAGTAGCTCCTGGCTTAAAAAAGAGGGGATCCAAACAGACACTTAATGTTTCTAAAGTGAATGTATATAAGTTGTCTACGTTCGCTTTCAAAACGACGTCGTTTTGAGTTAAAACATTAAAAAATTATAATGAAAAAGACTATTATAACCCTAAAATAAATTATACTTACAAAAATACATTGATTTCCGCATCAAAACGACGTCGTTTTGGGCTCAATGTAGATAAGTTATCTACATTGACCGTAGAAAAAGCAGACCCATATAAAAAAGATTTAATGTTTCTAAGTGAATGTAGATAAGTTATCTACATTCATTATTAAAACGACGTTGTTTGTATTGAAAAATTAAAAAATTATGATGAGAAAGACTATTATAATCCTGAAATAAATTATAATTAGAAAAAATAAATTATAATTAGAAAAATACTTTGATTTCAGCCCAAACATCGTTTTAAGCTCAAAGTAGATAACTTATTTACATTGACTGCAGAAAAAACGAACTCATATAAAAATGTAAGATATCTAATTTTTTGAATAAATATTATTTCGGATCCTCAACAAAAAATACAGAATTTATTTTAATCCCTTAGAAAAAAATTGACTTATGATTCTTTTGAAATTTTAGTTTTTTAAAATTATAATTACTCTGAAATTCAAAAAAAACTCACGTTAGTCCTTAAAAAGAACTAATGTGATTATTTTTTTGTTTATAAAGAATTAAAATGGATTCTCTATTTTTGGTTGAGAACCAAAAGAAACACTTTCGTTATCTTTTTTTAATCTCTTTCTCGCCTGTATGTATAGGATTTTATCTCATTAGAAACTTTAAACCTGATTTCACAAAGTAAGAGAAATATTTCTTGCTGACATGCAGTTACGGCAACCGACAGGGTCCCACACTACTTGAAGTGCATCAATGAATTCGCTTCAACCATGCGCTGTCATGGAGCGCGTTGTGTGCTGATTTTACAACTTAATAGAAGGTTATATAAATAGAATTAACATTCCTGTTCTACCTTTTTTTTTTTACTCTATAAAGTATAAACTTTTTTTTTTTTTGATAACAAAAGTATAAACTTTTTTCTTACATGTAACTTGGCAATGTAAAATAGAAAAAAAAAACTGTTAATATGCTTATCATATCTATGTAAGGATTTTAAAAATTAAGAACTATCGCTTCCGTCTTGTATAACATTTCATTGCAAATTAATGGCAAAAGTATTAGGGGTGTAAAATAGCAGACTGGATTACAAAGCATCACTTGAGTCCTGATGCGAACGTCAAGATTTTCTTTAGTCCATCACTAGAGTGTGAGTCTTTGATCTATAATAATCAAATGGGGGTCATGACCTCCAGGTCTTTTTAATTTTTTTTTTTTAGTTTTCCTTTGTATCTCAAAAAAAAAAAATAGTACTTTAACAAGTGAAATGTGATATATAAAGCAAATATATTACAGAAAAGATAATGCAAATAAGGATTTAAACTTAACTATATATCGTTGGAACTGAAACAATCATACACATACTATTGAAATTAAAAAAGAGAGTAAGGGAAGAAAAATGGATATACAAATTTATCGTTTCATCTAACGTGGATTACGTTCAGCAATATGCACTATATTTCCTTTAGTGCACTCGTTACAACACTCAATTTAAAGGAGAATATAAATATGATTAGAAATTTTAACAACGGCAATTATTCAAGAATCTAAACTCAAAAATATTAAGAAAAAATAAAATAAAGTAAGTTAGAAGCCCATAAAAGTATCAGGCCTTTGCGATCCTAGAACCCTGTTGGCTTTATATGTGGTTCCACCAACAAAAAATATCATCTGAATGTGAAATATGATTCATACTCAAGATCAAGATATGTTTGATCGTAATTCTAGAGTTGACAATCCCTTTCATAAGGGTTGAGAAGAATTTGATCTCTTAATAACAAATTTTAGGAAGAACAATAGTATTTTGACTATCTTCAAAAAAAATTTGAAAATGCAAATTGGTCTAAAATGTAAATACGGAACAATGACGGTACAAATGCAAAAAACTAAATAATATAAGAGAAATGGCATGTTCCATTAGATGCAACCAATCAAATGATTTTCTTTTTATGAAAAGGCATAGATCATATATTTCTTTATAGTTATTTCCCAAAATGTTTATATTATGCACGTTCAAAACCTATTTTGAAGTTAATGTATCAAATTTCAGTTCTTAAATTTAAACTACATATGTATTTGGGATTAGGTTAAGACTTATTTTTTTAAGATTAAAGATAAATTATAAAAAATTTAGTTTTTTTTGGCAAATAAAATAAATAAAATTTATATCATATTATTTAATTACAAATATACATAGAGAGAGTTATATTTACAAATTCTTTGTTTACAAACTATAATATGTACTCCTGAAAGTACATATTTATGGAAATACATAGTGTAATTTATAAAAAATTATAAAAAAAATTTGTAAATGAATTCTTCTCCTTTATATATGTATATTTATTTATTTTGGTTGAGAAAAATATATTTTAAAAGATCCACATTTAGTTTATTATTCTTAAAATCTTATTACATAGTATATAAAAAATAAAATAAAAGTATAAGCTGTGTCTTAACATCGGGGTTGATCAAATCTCGACCTTATTAGGTTCCCAACACGTGCTACGTCATATTTCATCTACGTCCCCAACACGTGCAAAATCTTCTTCAACCATCGTCGCTCTCGCTCTGCAAATCAATGGATTTTGCACACTGAAGGCCAGCTTCTGAAAACCCTAATTTCTTCTTTGATTGATACGGTTCGGATTGGGCCATAACAATCTTCTAATTTCACCAATCAGTGGAGATAAATGGAGTCAGACGAAGACGATTTTGTTTTCTTCGGAACGCCGATAGAGCGCGAGGAAGAGTTAACCAGCCGCAAAAAGAAGGCTATTGCCGAGTCCTCCGGTAACCTCCGAACCCTCCCTGCTTGGAAGCAAGAGGTTAGCGTTTACTCTTTCCACCGTTTTTTAGAAATTTTGTTATACACGCATGAAACTGTACGTGGCGCTCAGTATCCATCTTAATTTTGGTTGTAGAGTTTCCAGAAATTTTGAATGCATATGGAAATAAGAAAGTGTTTGTTTTGTTTAATGTGAATTCGCAATTAAAGTTAATTGTACTGTATTGAGTAAATTCTGTTGCGGGTTCATTGAGGAGGTGCGTACTGTTTCTGCGATCAACTCTAGGAGTATTTAATGTTTACTATTTGTAATTTATATATAAAAAAGAATTGAAAAAAAAAAAACTACTGGGGTATTAGTTTGAACATCGAAGTGTAGCTTATTATATCATTGAACGGCTGAGGTTCATCATTCATCATATGACATGGTCATGTGAAAATTAGACATGAGAGGATCTGCTCCCACCTTATTACTTTTTATTTTTCTGCGCCATAGTAGTTCTTTTGTGAATGTTACTTGTGGTTGTATAGTGCATTTATGTTTTAAATTAAAATTTCGACTTCGGATCTGTTTTTGACACTATTCAAGGAAATGTCAGTGGCTACTTCTGTATATGTTAACCAGTCTGGTATATGCGGTTGACAATAAATTATAAATGTTGGTCATTGGCCTTGATGATTGAATTTGTTGTCAAAGACCCTATTAAAAAAAGAGAATATTTTGGCATGCCTTAACTAATGCCTCCTGTGTCTTAACTTCACAACAATTTTCATTTCACCATCTCCAGGTTAGAGATGATGAAGGGCGGAGAAGATTCCATGGAGCATTTACTGGAGGTTTTTCTGCTGGTTATTATAATACTGTGGGCACAAAGGAAGGTATAAGTTCATTAGGGAATTATAATGCTCCTGATATAGATTGGATTTTTTGTAGTTGGTGGGTGTTAACTTTATGAATGAATGTGCAGGGTGGGCACCTCAGTCTTTTAAATCATCCAGGAAGAGCAGAGCTGAATTCAAAGAGCAGAACATTTTGAATTTTCTAGACGAAGATGAGAAAGCTGTATGTTTAATAATACTGTAGTCTGTAACAGTATAAGTGTGTGTTCATGATTTTCAACATATTTATACATATATGCTCATTTCTAAGGCACTATTATATGCTGAGATTCCTCCCATTATATGCTCATTTCTAAGGCATAATAGATGTATGTAGAGAAGTGATACTAAGTAGATTCCAATTTGTACTCTAGAACCATTTCAAACAGAATCTATCTGTAAATACTATTTAGAAGCCCTTTTTTAAACAAGATTTTCTAATTCATTTTATGCTTCTGTATTGTATGCCATTTTCAATGTCTTTTGGTGTGAAACTTTATTAATACTAATATTAGAGCAAGATACACATACCTCCTTGAGATTTTGAAATATTACAAATAACCGGTAGAAATGGATAAAGTAAGAAGCATATCCTTGGAGAAGAACATAAAGGAGTGTTTGTTATATTAAAATTCTCAAGTAAGGGAAAGTTTGTTCTGTTAGAATCTAAACATGGAAGTTTCTTGTAATTTTTCTTTTTCTATAGGGAATGGGGGAGAGGGGGTGATATTTGTAATACTTCAAGGGGAGCTTTATGTATTTCACATTTTATATTATCATACTTTTGGGATAGGGCTATACTCTTCTATGCTTGTCTAAAGGAGTCTTAAAAAAACCATGTTGCAAAAAATGGTGATACTATCATTAACCCAACCATAACATTTCAATGATGTGGATGAAGTCAAGTTCATAGCTTGCTTACTCAATTGGTGGCTGGGGCTTCAGTATTTGTTAGTAGATCTAGTTTTTTTATTCCTTGTGTTTTAACCAACCCTTTGCATGTGCTGTAGGAATTGGAAGGTCAGTTTTTGGGGACATCTTCTCAGTTTGACACATTTGGTTTTACAGCTGCTGAAATTGCTCGCAAACAAGCTGAGAAGGAACAGAAACAAAGGTGCATTTTGTTTCTGTAATTGTTTATTATGGTCCTATGATGTGCCCATGTCAGCTAAATTTTGTATTTAAAGAAAAATACATAAATTTTCTTATGATCATGGTGCTTTTTTTTAAAGACTTCATTGCCCATAGTAATATCATACAAAACAAATGAAATTTAAAATATTCATGCTTCTTTTTGGAATTCTAGTCTGTACATTATGATGTGAGGTTTTTACATGCAAATTATCACAATTCATAAAACTTAATGATGGCATTTTTTATGTGTGGGCCATGGTCTACCATTCAGTATCTTTTTGGCGCTTGATCCATGGTAATTTTTTTGGGGGGAATTTCTCTCATAAATATTCAAGGAATTGGAGAGCTCTGCATATTGATTTCTTCTCTGTGCTTCTTTTTTATTTTAAACTCTATTTTGTTAAAGGATATTTTCTCTTTCTATAATATTCTTCCTTCTTCAGTCAAAGGGAAAAAAATGAGGAAAAGGAAATAACACATGTTAGTTATCTGTGGATGCGTTTTTGGATTTTAATCCAAACAGTTGCTATGATTGTAATAAAATGGTAGGGTTACTTATCATTTATCATGGTTACCGAAAAATTAAACAAAAGCTTAACTTTTCGAAATTCTTTTCTCTCTTTGTGGAAATAGTGAGAGTATAATGTTTGAACTTCTGTTTCCTTGAAATTTGATGGGGTGGCTTATCTTCTGAATTAAAAGAATGTAGAAGCTTGAAATTTTCATGTATTTGTCCTTGTGACTTGTTTCCATGATGTAGCCTGATTTAACATTTTCCTTCCTTTAATGAAAATACTCCCTCTTCATGTGTCTTTATTCTCTATTTTTATCAATCTGGATATGTTAGCATGGATGCTTATTTTAACCGAGCTATCATTCTACACTTTTGGTAATTACTGATCTTATTTATGTGAATCAAATTTTGTTATGGTTCTTTTTTTTTTCTTTCAATAAAGCAAAAGACAATTTCATAGCCTTTTTTTATTCTCTGTATTTTGCCTTTTTTTCTTTGTTCTTTTTGTTTTTGTAACCGTGATGAACTTCATAGCTTGTTTGTGTTTTTCTTTCTCATTGTAGGCCATCCATAATTCCTGGACCTGCTCCTGATGAAATAGTTATTCCAGCCACAGAGTCTGTTGGTATGTTCCACTAAATTCGAATAGCATCTGCCCTAAGAATACTTTATCTCTTACCTCCTTCGTGTTGTTTTTAAGGGGTAAAATTGCTCTTGAAGATGGGGTGGAGTCGTGGTCGCTCAATCAAGGATTCTCATGCTGATGCACTCTATGGTATGGCATCCTATTGCCTATTTTGTGATTTATTTTCTTGCATTCCATTTTATTCCTAGTTAGCCTTCTGATACAAATTCATCAAACATAAATTGATTTGTAAGGAAGGGTACTCTTAAGTTTTACGCCCTTTTTAATTATCAACTTGGGTTGTAGAAATCAGGTTTCTGTTTATCCTTCTTCTGAGTAAAATTACAGGATCACATGGTTGTTTCAAGTCAGTTTGTTGCTGGACTTGGGTCCAGATTCCTTTTCCCTCCTCTCTCTTATTGCATTTGATAATAATTTTGATATATTTATAATTTTCTGAGATTCAATAAGTATTTGTGATTTTGGTTATGTATATGCTTTCAGCACATATACAAGAGGAAAGAAGTTTAGTTTAAATTTATAATGATATTAGTGTATTAATCTAGAAAACAACCTCTTTGCAATTATGCAAGGGTAACACTGCGTACAAGAATTGCCCTCACTCTGCCCTTGTTAGTCGGGGTTTAATGGAGAATTTTATATATATATATATATATATATATAATCTAAGTAACTACATACACTGATTTTCTATGGGATGCAAATGCACTTTGAATGATGATCTTTTAATTTATATTTTATTCTTTTACCATACATCTTGTCCTCTTTACTATATCCTCTTTCTTCTGTCTAGTATTAGTGATTTTACCTTTTTATGATTGGGAATGGGCCTGGTACTTTCCTCATTTGATATTATGGGCTTTTTGGCAGAGTTTTTAGAGTTGCTAGCTGTGCATGTTTAAGAGCTCGACATTCTTTTTTTCCCCTCCCTACAGTACACCCTTTTGTAATACTTCAGTCAGGCTTTGCCAATTGAGATTTTTTGGTAAAGATTATATAAGCTATTTGTTTTCTTTTATTTTTTTCATACCCAGAAAGTATTTTAATGAAGCTAATATAAAATTTTCTTCTGTCTATGTTATTGTCAGATTGCTGTGTAATTTACTAGGCTTCCATGCAATGATATCTCAGTTCATGTAATTTTACTGTCGGTACAGATGCCAGAAGACAGGCTCGGAGAGCTTTCTTAGCATTTTCTTCAGATGATCCAAAAACGAAAATTACCGAGTCTGAGCCTATCAAGGGTGATATTGAAAATTTTACTCAGCAGCCTTTGAATGATGATGTTCCATCTTCTAAGAGCACACCGGTGAGAAATTACCCTATTATTCCTATTTCCTATATAAATGTTATAGATTTCTTATATGATAATCTTCTTATAGTATGTTTGAATGTTTTGTCCCTTCCCAATGTGATTCTTGGGGATTGTGATTTGTGATGTGATTTATACCTGTCCAAAAGCACACCCAAAAATTTGCTTAGTCCTTAGACTTAACTCTGTCGAATGATTTAAATCATTCCTTAGAGTAAAGGTGGGGTATTTATTCATATAATCATATCATTGAATTTCAACATGTATTTTGGCATGAGTACTTTTCCTTTATTGCTTTGAAAGTTTGGTGGGGATCATTTTGACTCTTACACTACTCAATATCTATGATAGAAAATAATTTCTATTAGTCCTACCCTTTAATGGCAAGCACTTATAATATTGGTTCTGCATGCCAAATTTTGGAAAACTTAAACAGAATAAGTACATGATCAAATGGTTGATATTTCAATATCTTTTTGAAAACTAAATTAATGTTAATTTTAAGATTTTTGGTTGGTATACAACACAATCTTGAATTAATGTGAGTGCTATGAGCATGGATACAACACAATCTTGAATTAATGTGAGTGCTATTAGCATGATATGCATTATACAAATTTTCAGTCCAACAGTGGGTTTTGTGAGTTTATCTATATCTCTCATTTCTCAACACAACACACAAACTTTGTCTTAATTATTGTAACCCAATTTAGAAATTGTTTCATGTTTTAGCTGTTACTTAATATATCTGTATAGATAACGGGCATATGTCTCACATATATCTTTGCTTCAGGTTTATGTACTCAACCCAAAGCAAGACCTGTATGGATTAGGTTTTGATCCTTATAAGCATGCTCCTGAGTTTAGAGGTATGTTTTATGCATGTGGCACCTGCAGTTGTGGTTGCTGGAAATTGACATTTAACTGTATTCTCCCTTTTTTTACAGAGAAAAAAAGATCACGTTTATCCAGCAAGATGGGACCTGGGTATAGCAAAAACTTTTCTTCAAGAGATAGTCTTTTTGGTTTGAAGTGTAAGATACTTAAAACTGAATATATGATAATCCGTGATCCGATTTGCCGTTAGCTGATTTCTGTAATCTGTTATCACAATATCCTACCCCAAGTTGATTTAACTCTCAGCTTCAATTCATCAGCAGGAAAGGCTACCCCTGGTTTCGGCATTGGAGCACTTGAGGAACTTGATACTGAGGATGAGGATGTCTATGCCACTGGTTAGTAGTTCACTCTTTTATATTAAGATTGAAAATGGTTTAACTTAGGACTCATTTATGCATGATAGGATATAAGATCTGATGGAATAAGGCTGATAAAATTTGGAGGCCACAATGAAAGCAGTCTAGGGTTTTCCGGAAGCAAGAGTCTCCCATATCAGGAGCTCTGATATTAAGTTGAAATTTGGAAATCTGAATCTGAATATTATTTATTTCAATTTTCGTGTACAAATGTTCACAATATATAGACTAATATGAATAATTATTTTCTTAATAAAGAGCTGATTCTAGGGAAACAAATAAGCAAATCAGATCTGTTATCTTTCCTATAACCTGTCCTATCATAATCTGTCTAATAGAAGGGAAAAACAAATCTATTATAATTACACAATTATTCATTCTATATTTACAACAATATCCTCCTGTAAAAATGTGAAAAAAAAACACAGGCACAAGGTAAAATTCTTATAGCTTAATTTTTTTTTTTAGGTTACGAATTCGAAGATGCCTACGTTCAAGAAGTTGAGGAACCTTCAACGTTGAGCTTGGAATATCCGAAAAAGAAAGATCAGAAGGACCAGGGTAATCTGCCTGGTTTTAGAGTTGCATCCAATTCTGACTATAAAATGGAAAGGTTACTGAAGTAGTTTATTGCCAAAATATTATACTGATATGGTTTGTTCTTTTTAAAAAAAAATTATTATATCTTTTACTGTTTCACATTTCTAATGTAATGGCTGTGATTTGAGTTGATAATAATGCTTGGGGCATCTAGAATCTAATATCTGGATAATATTTTTAACACTTTTTTGGCCTATGTGGTCTATATATGCCTATTTTTCTTTTTTATTCCTTTGCTTATTTTGTACTTAATATGATCATTTTTTTAACAATAATTGTATAAATTGATTATCAGATTTGAGCCTCCTCTGATTCCCAATGATTTTGTGCCCCGCCATGCATTTTCTGGACCTCTTGAGATTAGCCGCAAGAACTATGAGGTCCCTCCACCGGATGTTCATCCTCCTGAGGATAGCAACTTAAAACTATTAATTGAGGGGGTTGCAAATCTGGTAGCTAAATGTGGTAAAGTATACGAGGATCTATCTCGAGAAAAGAATAAATCGAATCCGTTGTTTAATTTTCTTTCTGGAGGAACTGGCCACGATTATTATGCAAGGAAACTGTGGGAGGCACAACAGAAATGCAATGATCAAACTAGGCGACAGTTGGATGGAAAAATGCCTCCAGGTGTGCAGAAGCTGACAGCTGAAAGCCGAGGCCAGATCCTAGGGGAAAATCCTCTAGAAAGAAGCTCCCAAGATCCATCCTCATTGGTTGTTTCTACAGATGTTCATCTTCAGTATAATCTCACAGATACATTTACTATGTCTGCATCATTTGTAAGTAGCATAATCTTTCTGCTTTAAATTCCTAATTAGATTATTTGAGAATATCTCTATTTTGCTTCTAGTAGTTTGGTTGGCCGACCATACTGTGGCTTCAACTCAAACAATTCCTTTGACGTGATTTTTGGATTACTTTCCATGGAATTTTAACAATAAGGATACAACTGAACCTTTATTGGCCTCGCTTTTGGCACAATGGTCGCTGCTCATTCCGTTAGGATTGGGGTTATGCTGGGTTGTGTATGAACTATGAATCCCACCAGAACATATCATGTGGTTTTGTCCTTTCCCTCGTGGAGAGACCCCTCTTCCTTCCCCAGGCTGTAAATCTTCTATTATAACCCAAAAAAACTTGCTTATTTGCTCATCTTTATTTCCTTATTTTTGACCCAGAGTGAGTTGCCAGATGTTGAAAAGCCTTTCAAAGATGATCCTGCAAAGCAAGCAAGATTTGAGCAGTTTCTCAAGGAGAAGTATGAAGGGGGATTACGCACTACAATTTCTAGTTTAGCTAGTGATATGTCAGAAGCTGCTCGTGCTCGGGAGAGACTATATTTTGAGGCTGCAGCTGAGGCAATACAAAAGAGAAAACAGGGCAGTGGAAGCAAGCCTTTGATTCCATCTTCCATGGATTTCACCACAGGTGGTGTTATGCAGTTTACTTCTGGTTCAGTAGAGGTATGCCTAAGGTGATGTTCCTTTTGTTTCATTCCCTGTAGCTTTGGCTTAAGTTATTTGACGTATCCTTTGCAAACAGCCAAAGAAGGACCTGCAAACTGAAGATTTCATGGTGAAGAAAATGTTTCCTAAGAGGGAAGAGTTTCAATGGCGTCCTTCACCTCTTCTCTGCAAACGCTTTGATCTCACCGATCCTTATATGGGGAAGGTACTTCAAGTAGCCTGCTACATTTGAAGTCATTCTTATATTGATTTTCTTGTTTGCTTTGGGGAACATTTTTCAATTTTTATGTTCAGTATTTTAATTATGTTCTGAACTTCCAAAGAACGTTTAAAGATTAGACATATTCTTGCTCTTTGTAGCCTGCGCCTGCTCCACGGATTAGGAGTAAGATGGATTCATTAATTTTTACATCAGATTCAGTCAAAGGTGCCAAAGTGGAAGAGCTTGTTAACGCGAAGAAAGACATATTACCTTTGCAACAATCTGCTAATAAAGACATAACCAAAAGTATTGCTGAAAATGAAACTGAAGGGGATGTGGAAGTTGAAAATATTGAAAGACCGGTTGACCTATACAAGGTAACACCCTATTTCTAACCTTCTCCAATGATCTTACTTATGGTTAATACTTTCATGTGAAACCATTTCTTGCTTTTGTCCTTGCCAAAGCTTATCTTATACATTTTTTTTATGCCATTTTTGTCTCTGACCGTAAATACTTGGGGGTGCATTTTGACATAACATTTATTTTGGTTAATCTCATAACTGAGCACGTATTGATACACGGAAATCTATTTTAGTTAATTCTTACGCTTATTTATCACATGCACATCTTATACGATGGATACCTATGACAAATTCATACATCTGCAGGCTATTTTCTCTGATGATTCAGAAGATGAAGGGGAAGACCCTAATTTTAAGAGAGTGGAGAATCAAGAAAAGAAAGCTGAAGTAGCTAATACAGCATTGAGCCGTTTGATTGCTGGTGACTTTCTGGAATCATTGGGCAGGGAACTAGGGCTTGAGGTTCCTCCTGATGCACCTTACCCTACACAAAAGTCCAGGAGTGCTGCTCCTCAGAAAGAAATTAATGAAAATACAAGAACTGACAACATGAAGGGTGAAAATAACAGTGGGATGTCATTAAATCATGATTTGCCATATGATCAGTTCATTGCTCATGAAGGTGGACCCTCGAAAGGTGACACCATTTATGGAAATGTGCTGGATAATAGTGGTAGTAGTATCAAAACCAAGGGAACTAGTATTACTGACAGTAAATCGAGTAAGTCTAATGGGGAGAATTGTGGAGATGACAGGAAAATTAAATCACCTTTAATCCGAAGCCAAGACTATAACAGCAGTTCAGAAGAGGAAAGGAGCAGAAAACGCTCCAGGCATCATCGACATAGGAGGCATAATTCATCCAGTGATGATGAAAGAGATCGACACAGTTCAAGGTCAAAAGAGAGAAAAAAAGGGTCTTCTCGAGAAAAAAGCAGCGGAAGAAAAAAACACTCGAAACATCACAAGCACAGAAGGCATGAATCTCCGAGTAGATCGTCTCATTATAGCATGGAGAAGGACAATGCACATTCTAAAAGAGAGAGAGAACGGAGGGAATGAGCTGAGAGACCTGTTTCCTTTGTTTTCAAGAACTTCTTTGAATTATGTTGGAGGATCATTGCTGTATGAAAAGGTTTTCTAGGTTTTGGGGTTGTGATGCTGTGGTGCAGGCTATGAATTTCATTTGCTTTGAGCTAAACTCAAGCCTCCTGTTGTAATAGGTTGCTTTCTTCATTGGTTTGAAGGAATGCTGCGTAATTCATTTCCCTTACCCTTTTCTTTCAGAGATGTAAGGAAATGGAATTGTTACCTGATTATCTGGAATATAACTTAATTAGGAAGTTTTAAACCCCCACAAAAAAAAAAGAAACCCCGGTAATAAGGGAGTTTAGGTAGTTCTTAGTTCTAAGGCTAGAGTAATGTTTGTGATTAATTAAAACGTCATATCTAGAAGTATAAGAGATCAGATGGAATTCGAACACTGCAGAATCCTATAGGATCAACACCTTGTTAGAGGATTGGGAATCGGCATAACCCCAATTATTAATTAGTAAATGTCATTTATTTTATTTACTTGAACATTACTGGTGATTCCAGATACCATTTTTCTTTTCGAACATAAAGGCTTCTTGAGCGAGGTAAGCAAAATTCTTGAATTGAAAAAAAGATATTGTCTTGTGGCGGGAGAAATACTCTACCAATGTAGTCTTATGGGATGCTGTTAATAATTGTAGTGTTCATATATGCCAATTCGCAAAATTCTAGCGGCTATAGGACTTTATTATGTTCTATAGCCTGTTTGCTTTATTATGTTCTATGAGCTAAACATTGAATTTAATGAGAAATTGATGTTACATTGTGCGTTATAATTCAATGGGTATTTTTCTTAAAAATACATAAGTGGATGATTTTATTTTATTTTTTTATCATAAGTAATGTACTTGTGCATTATTCTTACAACAGTTAATGAAATAAGCGTCTTCAAAATATGTAAAGAGGTGGATATCATGTGTGATGTGTCTAAGGGTGTTCTCAACAGTTTTCTGAAAGAAAACCAAGCAAAAATGTGCAAAACGCATAAGAGTGGAGTAAAGATAAACACGTTCATTAGTGAGGCAATAGCTAATCTGTGGTTTTGTGACGTATGTTGTCCAATCTTTGTTCAATGTAGCAAATGACATTACATGCCCAGGGTGAAAAATTTATAGTACTATAGCAGTAGATATAATGGATCAATGGGAGTGCGCAATTTCAGTTGATATTTTTCTGAAAAAAATAAAATAATTTTATACTTTATAGAATGAAGTTCATTTTGGGTCTCTAACAAAAAAATCATATTCTCCACTTTCGTCCCTCATAAAAAAAATACCTATATTAGTCCTTTTTTAAAGACTAAATTGTGTATTTATTGAATTTACGAGGGATCACATTTTCAAAGAACTGAAATTGTAAAGGAACCAAAAGTTGATTTTTTTTTTTGTAAGGGACGAAAATGAGAATCGTATTTTTCTGTTAGGAACCCAAAATGAACTGTACTCTACTTTATATTATACATTTCCAGAAATATATAATGTAAAATCTTCTGTCGCAGCTAATGATTTTTACCCTCTTGCCACGGGGTATGCACCGCAAAGAAGTTTAATATGTGTTCCCTCTTTCTTGAAAGAAATGTTATGAAAGCTTGAATAGGAAAATGCACAAGAAAAGAATTCAGATAAACGCGCAATATTCTCCATGCTGTCTTATGTTGCGAAGTAGGAAACGACAGTGTCTTCATAATAAAAATCTAAAATTTTTCACTCTGATTCTCAAGTTTTGAGGCAGATATTTTCTATGAACCATATTTCATTTGTAAAAATTAAATTCTTTGCTTTTAATTCTAGAAAGTGTTCGAAGCTTATGTTGAGACCCAAGAATTCGGAGTGGCCATATGATGATTCATGATGATGTTTATGAAAAAGTATGTAAAACTTTTTTAAATACTTCAATGAAATTTTCGAAATTTTTTGGGTCGCTTTTTGGCTATGGCTCCTCCGTGCCCCGTGAAGATTGGAATTAAAAAAACAAGACATAAAAAAAATCTTATAAATCTTATCTTCGTATAGCCAATAGCCACACTCAAAATCTTTTGGATCATTGACTACTAAAAAATCTTTTGGATCATTATTAGCTAAGGTTGAGTATTAGCTAAGTTATTTTTTTTTTAATTTTTTTTATAAAAAACATTAAGATAATTTTTAAGTTTTCTTTTTAACTTATCTTATTATTATATAAACATGTGTTTTTAACTAAGAAACATTTTTAAAATAAATACAAACAAATCGCCATAAAAAATTTCTTTTAGCCTTATCTTATATCTATTTCTTGTCATTAAAATATTCTTTTATTTTGTAGAGCTAATTTTAAAAATTCAAGATCAGGCTCTAGAGTTTGATTATGCACAATAGATTTAATTTCATTTTACCCTTGATACATTAATTTTAAAATGATTTCCTTAAGTTATTGTGCAAATTATTGATATACTTTAAAAATGTTTATTTACCCTAAAAATAAAAATAAAATGAAATAAATAAAATAATTATTTACAAAGAAAAATTAAATCATAAAAAATGTATTTATAACAATTTTATTTGACTTGATGGGAGGATTCCAGCTTCAACATGTGCAGAAAAAACTCAAAGCCGTATTATTATTTAAAATAAATATTTGTGGGTTAATTAATTTTAGTTTTGAATTTTTTTTAAATAAAACTTTTCGTAGAAAATTTAGTAAAAATTTAGATACTTCATCAAGTGGTCAACCAGATCGAACCAATTTGTTCTGACTTGCTGCTCATGAAGCTAAGAAATCTCAATGCAAGGTCACATTTTACGAGTGGTAAGTGGTGACTTTCCTCAACGATTGTCGGGTCTTCTCAAATTTATTGGTTAGCATAAAGTTATGTTGCACCTAAACGGCATTGACACCTGATAGGGATAATATATAACACGATATTCTAATATATTAATTTTAAAAATTATTAAATTTTGATATTAAATATTATTTTTAAGGGTTTGATGTTTGTCATTTTAAATAACATAAATTATGTCATTTTAGGAGAGAGATAGAAACAAGAAATAGAAATCATGGGAGAGAAAATGATAGAAATGATGGGAGAGAAAGTGAGTGGTTTTTTTAGTTTAAATTTTAAATAAAAAATAATTTCTTGTATCTATCTCTCTCCTAAAATGACATAACTTTATATCATTTAAAATGATAAATATTTTCCCCTATTTTTAATATATATAATATAATTTACATTCAATACATATAGTAGTTCATAATAAGTCATATATCAATTAAATATTTAAATTTTATAACATATATATAAAATAAAAATAATTTTTAATGTCTTATTTTTTTTATATCAAATTCCATAATAGAAAATATTTGATTTATAACACTAAGGGTAGCTCAGTTGGCAACTGAGCTTTCAAGGATTTGTTTGGGTCAAGGGTTCAATCTCAAGCAAATTTTTGAAAAATCTTTGGGTGGCAGAGGACGTGCCTCTGTCCTTGAACGGAGGATTAGTTTTATCCTTCTTCCGGTAGCGAAGCTTAATGCATTCGCTGTTCCAATAAGGAGCTAGCCTTCGAGCCGTACTCCAAGGACAAGGTGACCGGAGGAGGTTGAATGGAAATACCTTCCAGGTTATACAAAAAAAAAATATTTGATTTATAAATTAATTTTTTATTTTTAGTTAAAAAGATAAAATAAGTTTATAAAAAAAGATAAAATAAAATAAAAATTGAATCTGCACGAACATTAACAGCGTATAAAAAAATATTGACACATATCAGAAAATATTTACTGTGTATCAAAATATTAACCGTATATCAAATGCGGTGTCCGATAAGCATTTTTTATAAAAATTAACGTATCGAATAAAGTGTGTGAATCAGAACTGCACGACATTGCATGTGGGAGAAAAGAAGACAGTGTCATCTTGAAAGGATCATAAAGTTCAGTCATGCTTAAAATAAACGAGGAAAATAGGTATAATCAATATTGGAGTGGGATTACCATTGCATGTGGTACCACATAAAATTAATGAAGGTTGGCCTTATTCCTAGAATTCTCATTTCTCTGACGTTATGATCATGCCTTGGAATTCAATTACAAATTCTGCTGGTAACTGTTACGAGTTATGTGTGCCTATCTCTCTGCCACCAGTTTCAATGGCCAATTATCAAACCGAACAAACATGATACATCAGAGGGTGTCAATGTCAACAACTCAACATCGTGTTAAACACAGTTCAATTTGCTGAACTATGTAAATGATATTTGAATAAATCATTATAGATTTATAGTGAATGGTAAAATTTAATTATAAATACAAATTTAGAATAAAGATAGAATTATAAAATAAATATAAAATCTTCAAAAAAATTATATACACATTTTTTTTTTCCTGAATGTTTAAATTTTTTTTTATTATAAATTTTTTTATAAAATTATATTTGACTAAATTTCTATTTTTATCAAATTAAAAAGAAATTGCAAAACAGATATTAAATTAGACTATGCGAGCACAAGATACCTCATATTCCGATTCCAAATATACCGAACACGGCTTTTCATGGTTTCTAACTTCAGTTTGAAATGGCAGACAGCCATTAATTTACAAACACTTTTCTTCATAAATTATGTAAGCCTAAAATCATTGCTATGTCTATATTTGAATTCAGTAAAAACTTAAATTCCAATAAAATATGAAAAATTATTAATAGTTCTTTGTAAATAATATAGAGAAAATCACATCAAAATTTCCTTCTTCTTTTTTTGTGTTAAGCTTATTTCTATTTATAGAACTACAGAAATCTCAATTCAAATTTAAAAGTTGTTACAGTTTAATTAACTCAACATTTTACGCTGACTATACAATAATTTCTTTTTAATTAAAGCTTGGTCAAAGAATAGTAATGTGATTGCTCTTAATCTTGAGTGTATTATAAATAATTAATTGAATAATTTTTATTCTTTGAATTACCAACCACTGAGATCCAATCTATTAACAATCAGTAACTCAGTATTTTAGGAAAAGATCATCCATAACCATTCAAAGCAAGGAGATTCAACACTAAAAAAGAAAGTTCTGAATGATTAAAGAGATTTGTGTTGATGAATGATGATCCCTTAACATTTCAAACCACAATCGTCCTACGTGCTTCCACCAATTCAATTATTTATAAATAATTAACTCAACATTTTAAGATGACTATACAATAATTTTTTTTATTAAAGCTTGGCCAAAGAATAGTAGGCATATACAGAGTGGATCTTCTCATGTGAAAAAATAGTCATGTGATCATGTTATTTAATCACAACCACTTATTGAGGATGAAATAAGAGAGAGAAAAATATATAATTTTTAAATAAGTGGTTGAGATTAAATAGCATGACCACATGACCACTTTTTCACATAAGAGGATCCACTCCCACCGTTAATATATCAATACCGAATACCGATGATAAAAAAATAAAAATAAAAACACGGATACCAAAGTAGTTTCCAAGAGAAAGGGTCAAATAAACCGGCTAAAGTGACAAATGTGATTGATGGGAGTTTAACTTATTTGATTAATTTCTTACTCATAATAATTGTGTGACTTGATTTCAAATGTATATATCTCTTATAGATAGCTATCATAA